TGTAAATTTGGTCGAAGAAATGATGATTAATGGTGTCCATATCTAAAGCAATGAGGCGCAAAATTGGACCGGGTTTTTTTCGAATTTGAGAAGTCTTAGAAGGAAGAGAACCTCAAAGTGGAAAAAATATCACATTTAAAAATTCATAAGAGGGCACTTCCTCAAAAAGTTAATAAATTTCTACGCTTTATCTCCATTTCTTTTTCCGTTTTGTACAGAATGCTCAGTTAGCTGTTCGCTTTTTTTTTCCACGTGGTTCTTGTTTTTCAAAGTTTGGAAGGCAAGAAAGCGTAAAAGATATGGCCCTGAAGCTATTGGGAGTGCTTGCTACATTGCTAGTCCTTGATTAATTCCTTTCGCAGCTTGTCATAAAATTAGATACTTTTTTTTACGATCCTTCATTAATTTTAACATTCCTCCATCCGCTTACTTAGATTTTAAAGTAGCATCTCATTTTATTGCTTTTTTTGTATTTCGTTGCTTATCCCCCCTGATATAATTTTAGTCTCTCCTGTTCAGAGCGTCCTTTGCTGCTCTTTTCCACTGTTCACTTTACCCTAAGCATACGGCTAATTGTGTAACTGTTTTTTTTTCTAGAACAAAGAACAGGCCTGTTGATGAATTGTGATGGAATGAGCGCTGATGTGCGAAATGATTGCGCCGAAATATGGAATGAAATCAAAGATTTCACGGCGATTGATGGGGATAGCGCAAAATTGCTGTTGCTCTCAGATGACTGGAATATAGTTGTTGGCTCATTCGATGCTCTTTTTGTCCGTGCAAAGGAGACTTCATTCTGTATGTATTTTTGCACTTCTGTGGGGTACTAAATTCTACGCTAGCTATATGAAAATAAGGAATATTTATATGCAAATTTTAGGCCCGTCAGCTCCCACCATTAGACTGGTTATCACAGGCAATGAAGCAGCCAGAAAGATATAAAATATCTTGGAAAAGCATAAAATTTGGCTAGAGGGGCTCAAATCAGTTTGGTGATGCTCTTTTTGATTAGGTCTTTACTGATTTCGATAGGATATTATGTCGCTTTTTTGTCCGATTAGCTTGAGCGACTTAGATTACTGCCAGCCTAATCAGTAGAAGATTATGCAGAAATGTTCATGTAGCTATACATAAATCGTAAAATTTACGCCATGCAAAAGGCGTGGGATTCAGCGTGACTGAAATGATAGAAACTGCC